TCTGAATGGGGAAGAAGGGAATGTGAAATAGGGGATATTGTTGCTACTAATGGACACTTTGGCTGGCCACTAAGGTTCAAAAGGACTTCAGAAAGTTCATAGAAAAATGGAATGAAAAATTAATGGAATTTTTCCATGATCTTTTTGAAACTCCTTCATATATTGAAAGGTTTCATGAACCTGATTTAATGACAATTCTTAAAATCAAAGTTTATGGTTTAAGTCAGTGAGAACATCGGCTTTACACTGTTTCACTGCAATGATTACAATCTCCTCCTCCTTGAATCATTCAACCAGTATTTGTTTCTATTCTATTCTGGTTTTTTTTTTTGTGGGGGTAGGGGGTGGGGAGATGTACACAAAAACACTTAGGAATACGTCAGTTAAACATGGTTTCGTCACTTTTTGATTACACTATGTCTTAAAAGCAAACACCATATGATCCCCGATAAAATTTAGACTCAAGCTAGAAAATGTGGCAGTATCATGTTTGTTAGCCATAATCCACAGGAAGTACACCCTCTCATTAAACAGCCAGGACCTGATGGTTTCAGCAAAACCTCTGTTGCTCTTCCAGGCATATGCCTTCAACTCACATTTTAGTCTCCAACTTCCTCACCCTATACTGCTTCTCATATTTGTAATTTTCCTCAAAGCAGATTCCCACCCCCTCCATCTTCCCCACCAAAGGTGGCAACAACACTTTAAATATGTAAGATGAAAGTGGTGGTATTTTATCTCAGGTTTAAAAAAATAAAACTGTTATAGTCCTCTCAACAAATAATATACAGAGCCTTGCATACTAAGGTTCAACTAATTTCTTAGGAAATTCAATATTCTGGATTTGAGAAGACTGTGGAGACTGGTCACCTACTCAACACCCAGCCAGTTCTTGACTGGCTCCAGATTCCATTCTACCAATTTAGGATTTCCTTTTCCTCTCATGGGTTCCAATTTTGAGTCCAATCTCTGTCATCAATTCTTTTAAAAGACAGGTGGTTTGAGATTAGTATTTTTAAATTTGTTAAGTGCCATCAAGTCAGTTCCAACTCCTGTTGTTGTTGTCAGGTGTCATCAACTCTGTACCGACTCATAGTGACTCTATGCACAACAAAACGAAACACTGTCTGGGGTCCTGGGCCAACCCCACAATCGCCATTACTCCTGAGTCCATAGCTGCCGCCACTGTCAATCCATCTCTCTCCAACCCTCCACTTCACCAAATATGCCTGAAGTATGAAAGATGAAGTTTGGCCATCCTGGCTTTAAGAAGTGGGCATTCTGGCTGTACTTTTACCAATACGGATAATGTCTGTTCTTTTGGCAGTTCATGGTACTTTTCATATTCTTCTCCAACACCATAACCCAAATGTTATCAATTCTTCAGTCTTCCTATCCAACTTTTGTATGCATATGAGGTTACTGAAAATATCATGGCTTGAATAAGGAACACCTTGGTCCTCAAATTGACATCTTTGCTCTTCAACATTTTAAAGAGGTTTTGTGTAGCGGACTTGCCTAATGCAATGTCATTTGATTTCTTCACTGCTGCTTCCATGAATGTTGATGGTTGATCCAAGCAATATGAAATCTTTGACAACTTCAATCTTTTCTCACTGGCATGGATGTTGTTTATTGGGCCAGTGGTGAGGATTTTTTTTTTTTTTTTTGAAATTGGGATGCAAGCCATACAGAAGGCTGTGTAGTCTGTGATCTTCATCAGTAGTTTATGTCTTCACTTTCAGTAAGCAAGGTTGTATCGCAGGTTGTGAGTCTTCCTCCAATCCTGAAGGCACATTTTTCTTCATATAATCCAGCCTCTTGGATTATTTGTTCAGCATGCTGATTGAAAAGTATGGTGAAAGTATACAACCCTGGTAAACACCTTTCCTAATTTTAAACCATTCGGTGTTTCTTTGTTCTGTTCAAAAGACTGTCTCTTGGTCCATGTACACATTCCTCATGAGCACAATTAAGTGTTCCAGAATACTCACACTTCACAATGTTGTCCATAGTTTGTCATGATCCACACACACAATCGAAAGCCTTTGCATAGTCAATAAAGCACAGGTTAACATCCTTCTGGTATTCTCTGATGGATCAAAATCCATCTGATGTTAGCAATGATATCCCTCGTTGCACGTCCTCTTCTGAATCCAGCTTGAACCTCTGGAAGTTCTCTGTCAATGTATGGCTGCAGCTGTTTTTGTATTACCTGTAGTAAAACTTGATTTGCATGTGCTATCAATATTGTCCAATGATTTCCGCATTCTATTGGGTCACCTCTCTTTGGAATGGGCACAAATATGGATCTTTTCCAGTCAGTTGGACAGGTCATTGTCTGCCACATCAGTTTGTTGGAAGGTAACAATTTGTATCCCATCAATTCCTGGTGTCTTGTTCTTTGCCAACTCATAGTGACCCAACATAGGGTTCCAAGGAGCGACTGGTTGAGTTTGAACCACTGACTTTGCGGTTCAAACTGACTAGTGGTCCTGCACTTATCATACAGCATCCCATGAGAAAAAAAAAAAAAAAAACCTTGATTTTACTGCTTTCTAGATATAACCAAGAAATACCAATGTCTCATGCATTGGCTGAACTGTAATCACAGATCAACACGTTTTATCTTAACTCTTCCCTTTTACATTTGTTTTCCTGTATTCGAATTTCTAACTTTTCAAGTATTGGTACCACATTAATTTTTGCATTTCCAATAAGTACACCACCACATTGGTTCCCTCCTCTCCCTTCCCCCCACCCTATACATACAACACACAATTAGGCTCTCTTCTCTAAATAGTACTAGAATTGACTCAGAAGCATTAACTTAGTTTGGGTTTTCCTTTTCTAAAACATCACTCCTTTTGTATCCTCTGTAAAATTTTCTTCAGCCTTTTATTTTTCATATTATTTCTTCCAAAACAAAGTCACAACTCCTAAAAAAATGTTCCCTTTCTTGGAAGAGGTAACTTTTCCTAAAATTTTATGTATACTAGATCCTATTCTGGGGTCCTGGTATGGAGCTATAAGATAAGTACTGGACTGCTAACCATAAATTCAGAGGTTTAAATCTACCAGGCACTCATTGGAAACCCTAAACAGGGTAGCTATGAGTCAGAGCTAACTGGAAGGCACTTGACAACACCTGATTTTAGGAATACAGTATTTGTAGAAGTCAATTTTCGAGGACCACAGGATAAATTCAAGCTACTCTTGACATAAACAGTTTTGATCGAAGTCGACAGCTGGCTGGCTGGCTGAGCGCCATGGAGTTGATTCCAACTCATAGCGACCCTGTACAGGGTTTCTGAGGCTGTAAATCTTTACCGGAGCAGAACGCCTCATCTTTCTCCCAGAGAACAGCTGGTAGTCTCCAACTGCTGACCTTGCAGTTTGCAGCCTGATTCGTAACCACTACGCTACCAGAGCTCCTTACGTCGACAGCAGCAGTCCCCAATTTCAAAATTAAGCAGGTAAAGGTAGTCCTGGCATGGTGCTGTAGATCAGCACTCACTGGAGTGCTAACAACAAAGGTCGGCAGTTCAAACATCCAATGCTCCTTGGAAATCCTTTACAGAGTTGCTACATGTCAGAACTGACTTGATAGCACTCAACAGCAAAGGTATTAAAGTACTAGTAGTAATAGATGAATCAGCATTTTAAAGAAACAAAAAAAACCAAAAACCAATATGGCACATAAAGAAGACCAACAGCAATCTGAGAAAAAGAAATCTCATTAAGTAAAGGGAAAGAGATAATGGTCTAAGAAAAAAAGTGAATAAAACATAAAAGGTAAGAGATTAAAGAAATGGAAAGACCACTTCAAAGATTATAAAAGTTATATTTATTCACGATGCTACATTTATTGCATTCCCTTAGAAAAATGGATAACTGCTTATGTAGCCAGCTAACACATATAAAACTTTATACAAATTCTGTGCAGCACACAAAGGCCTCTCTCTGGTATAGCTAAAACCCTGACACTACAATTTGTATGTTCCCATTTGAAGGTCTCCAGTCTATCAAACCTGTCCATAGAAAACAAAAACTGGAATGATAGTCAGTTTTGCTGCTTACACTTACTTTTAGAAATTATTTTAAGATGAAATAAAAATTTCATTTATTCTAAAACTCAAAATGCTACAAACTGAGAGGGCATACAATTTTACTATGAATTTCAATTTAACAGTATGACAAGTTCACACCTTATTTTGGCTGGGTCTGGAAAAAAAAAAAAAAAAAAATCACCTCTGTCTGACATTATCTTTCTAAATTGTGGCTCCTTCAGGTCATTTGTCAAAATATTTATGTAACAATTAAAAAATAATATTCCTTTTACAAAATGGTACAATAACACCTTAAAGGAGCCAGGAAATACTAAGCGTCTTTGGCTATACAACAAAAAGGCCCTCAGAAGCAACTATAGAAACAAAAAGCATAACAAAATATGCATAGAATTAATTACAATTTGTCCCCCCCAGTCTACCCATATACGAATGCAATTTACATAATCTTTTCAGATGAGATTCAATGGTACCACAAAAAAGATACCCAAGTTTCTGCAAAGGCAAAGTGAACTGAAAGAATTACACAACTAAATTGAGACTGAAGGGACAAATGTTTGATTTTTGTTCTGTTTTTTTTATATTTGTTTGCTTGTGTTTAAGTCTTAGCACGTTTAGAAATCAGAGTTGATAAACAAAAAGCCACAATCTTCACAAATGGAGCTATTATAGAAAAATAAATCAAATGAAGCATTTATTAATAAATGAAGCCTATTTTATTACTTCAAGTGTTAAAGATAAAAAAAAAAAATTTCAGCACAGCTGTTGTATTTAAAAAAGTGAAACTACATACTATAGTTCTAGCTCAGTAAACAGATGAACCTGCTGTCTTTTAACGACATAACAGGTGAGCGTTGTACAGTACATCTTATGAAGACCCGTAAATTAAAGAACTACTGGTTTAAACTTAGTGATTATGAAATAAAAATATATTCATAGTTTCAGCTTTTTTTTCCTTCCTCGACCATCTGGGGCTCCATCCATTTTACGTTTCTGTGTCTAAAATAAACAGAAGGAATATTTTACATCAGTGACAAGATATATATTGACAGGCATATTATAGCATCTTAGCTTCTACAAAGTAACAAGAATTTACTTGTCCTCAATAATATTTGAAAACAAACTATCAAGTTCGTTTACTTATGTAAGTTTAATGCAAACAATGAAATTATATGAACTGAAAAATTCAAAATTAGCAATAGTAAGGAGTCCTGGTGTGGCGTTGATGGATAAGCACTGGACTGAAAGATTAGTTTGAATCACAAAGTCAGCAGCAGTTCAAACTCACCAGCAGCAACTCAGAAACCCAATACAAGGATGAGTCGAACCAGACTTGATGGCATTTAACAACAGTAACAAGCAACAGTAAACCAATGTACCAAACAAATATATACTGTCATCCCAAAACAGTAATAAAACATATCGATGAGTTTTTAAAAAGTTTCATAAATAGTACATATTAACTATAAAGACTCATTTGCTCAATAGTTTGTGAATTAACTATTATTAAATAACATGATTTTTTCTCGATAATTTTGCTTTCACATTACTGAGACATCCTTAGGACAAGAAACCAGAGCTTGCAAATCAATAGTAAAGGTTGTTGATTTCTTGAAATAGTCTAAAATTGTAACTTGCATTGCCAATGAGAAGTGTACTCAAGACTTACATTCTCAAAATCTGTAACATATCATCATTAACAAGTGTAATAGGTCATTAACAAGTTAAATTTTAAACTTTTAAATGACCCATTGTTGTTCTAAGTGCTGTGAGTTCTGACTCACAGCAAACTTTTATCAGGGATTTCTGAGGAGGGGCTGGTGGTTTTGAAATGGCAACCTTGTGTTAGCAGTCAGTGCTTATCCTAGAGGTCCACACCACGACTCCTTACCTCAGGCTAAGTTATTTACAACAAAAAAATACTAACACATAAATGATAGCTAATTAATGGTCCAACTCTTGTGGAAAAGAAAAGTTTAAGTAAATAAAGAAAAAATATAAATATTCCTGACTACTTACTGTAGGCTTTGGTCCTCGTTTCTTTTTCTCTGCCTTCTCTTTTTCTTCTAGTTCCATGTTTTCTCTTTCAATCAAGGTAATTAAGGTGTTACAGCGCCTCTGGAGCTCCTGCGTTATAAACATAAACTTGTATGGTAAGCTATATATTTTCCATATGTAAATTTCCATCTACAAATTTCAATTTAAAAATATTTGTTTTGATCAACAGAAAATTAATTCACTCACCTGCAATAAATAAATTTAAATAAAAAGTAATTCATTTTCATATACAACCAAGTAATGAGGTAAAAAACAAGATATTTATGATTTTACTGCATTCTTTAAAGCCATATTCTTGTGTGTATAATTTTCCATAAATTCTCCCTTCACTTACATATTAAAAATATCTCATACTACATACAAAATTGCTACTGATGGTCCATGCCTAATAACTCCATTCTATTTGTATCAAAATCTTAAAAAATCAAATACTTGAGGGTTAGAATCAACTAGAATTAGCTTTCTGGCAATTTGTCATATGTTACCTTAAACTCTGAATTCTCTCCTACACTGCAAAAAAAAAAAAAAAGCCTCATACACTCACCATTGCAGTTCTGGACTTAAGAAACCAGTCAAATCTGAACTGAGGAGAGTTACGAATACATTGTCGCAATTCATCATAAACATTTTCTTTGTCGAATCCAAGCTTGTGAAGCATACAAATCAGAAAACGATCCTCTTCTTCAGTATAGTTTTTCCCTTTGTTAGTACCATATGATATTCTCAGCTGATGAAAAGGTGCTTTGTACCGTCCAATCTATCAAATCAGATGTTATATTAAATAAAAAACAAACTTTACAAAATCTACTTCTCAAACACAGCGGTAGCAAAATTTGCTGTTATCTCAAATCAGATTTTCTACCCAAAGCACCCAAATCTCATTAGATACACTTTATTCTAAAAAAACTTCATAGTTTTCATCACTATAATGAGAAAATTTATTTCCCTACACTTAGGAAAGAACTAACACTTGGCCCCAGATAACCTAATACTAGTATCTTTGGTTAACCTAATATTGAGGTACATTCTGTTGAGAATACCTAAAATGCTTCAATGTTTTTTTAAGAGATTTTAATTTTAAACTATCACTGCTTTTCCTTTTAAAAAGCTACTTTAATATTCATACTCACAAAAATGATTACCTTATTAATTGCCGTACTGATTAAAAAGTAAAGTACCTTTGTGTCAAGTGCTTTCTTGATACTAATTCTTCTCTGAATTCTTGCCTCTCCCCTTTCAATCTGAGCCATAATCTTCTCGATGTCCTGGAGTTCATTACATCTTTCCCAAAATACAGCTGTAAAAGAATAAAATCGGGAGCAGAGGCAGGAGGAATATAATAAATACTTTGCTAGCTTGTTGTTTGTTGTTAGGTGTTGTCAAGTTGGTTCTGACTCACAGCAACCATAGGTACAACAAACCAGCTTGTGGCATCCTCACAATCATTCTGTTTGAGTCCACTGTTCTAGCCACTGTCAATCCACCGCACTGAAGGTCTTCCTCTTTATCAGTGATCCTTACACTTTACTGAGCATGATGTCCTTCCTTCTCCAGAGACTGGTACCCCCCCCCCCCTCATAACACGTTCAAAGTATATTAAACAAACTCTCACCATCCTTGATTCTGGGAGCATTCTGGCTATACGTTTTCCAAGACAGTCCATTGAATATTCGATATTCTTTGCTAACTCCATAATCCAAATATATCAATTCTTCAGTCTTCATAATTCACGTCCAGCTTTTGCATGCAAATGCAGTGACTGAAAATACTCTGGGTTGGGTCAGGTGTACCTTAGTCCTCTCAAAATGACATCTTTGCTTTTTAACACTTTAAAGAGGTCTTCTGCAAAAGACTGGCCCAATGCAATATTTCATTTGATTTCCTCACTGCTGCTTCCATGGGTGTTGATTGGGGATCAGGTAAAAAAAAATAAAGAGCTTAACAACTTCAATATGCTTTCCATTTATCACAAAGTTGCTTACTGGTCCATCTGTGAGGATTTCTGTTTTCTTTATAGAGGCATAATACAGACCTGGTATGGCATTGCAGGTTAATGTGCTGGACTTCAAAGTCAGTTTGAACCACTAGATCAGCGGTTTAAGCTCACCAGCCATTCCTCAGAAACTCTATACAGAGTTGCTATGAGTTCAAACAGATTCAATGGCACTTAACAACAACAACAAGATCTCCATTACTGTTTCAAGTATTCTTCACTTTCAGCAAAGTTGTGCTATCTATGTATCACAGATGAACTTGCTAGCTTAAATATTATTTGCTAAGGATTAAGAAACATCTTCACTTATCCTGTATCTAAAAATTGGAGTCCTGCTGTGGCACTGTAGAATAAGCAGTGGACTGCTAACTGTAGGTTAGTGGTTCAAACTCATCAGCTGTTCCTCGGACACCCTATACAACAGCATCACTATGAGTCAGAACTGACTCCACAACACTCAACAATATGTCTAAAACTAGGTTAGAAACTAAGTCAATCATTTTGAAGTTTCCAGTTTCCGTAACTGTAAAAAATATGAGAGGTGAACTAAAAGATATTCTAAGTATTTTCTGGACCAATAACCAACAGTCTTATCAACGGAGAAAATACTGAAGTTGTCAAGGACTTCATTCTTCCTGGATCAACCATTATACTCACGAGCGTAGCAGTCAAGAAATCAAACGATTTATTGCACTGAGCAAACTTTTTGCACAATATCTTTTTTAAAGTGTTGAAGAGCAAACATGTCAGCTTGAGGACTAAGATGTGCCTGACCCAAGCCATGGTTATTTTCAATAACCTCATATGCATGTGAAAGTTGGACAGTGAATAAGGAAGGCCGTAGAAGAACAGATGCATTTGAGTTACGGTGCTGGAGGGGAACACTGAAAGTAGCACGGACTGCCAAAAGAACAAACAGATCTGTGTTGGAAGAAGTGTAGCCACAGTGCTCCTTGGAGGCCAGGATGGACAAATTTCATCACTCATACTTCGGACATATTGTCAGGAGGGACCAGTTGCTGGAGAAAGATATCATGTGGGTTAATACGCCAGACTGCAAAGTCGTTTGAACTGCAAAGTCACCAGTTCAAGCTCACCAGCTGCTCCTCGGAAACCCTATACAGGGCCACCTTGGGTTGGAACCGACTCAACAGCACTAAACAACAACAACAAGGTGGAGGGTCAGAGGAAAAGAGGAAGACCCCCAGCGAGATGGACTGGCAAAGTGGTAGCATCAATAGGCTCAGGCCCAGAGCTGGGCAATGTTTCATTGTCTTGTACAAAGGGTCGCTAATAGTCAATTATCGACTCAATGGCATCTAACAACAACAACAAAGTATCTTCTGATTCTTTTATCTTGGCTATGCTATATCTTTTTTTTTTTTTTTGAATGAATCACTGAACACAGGCTTTACTGATGAAAGGATGCCACTGTCTGGCAAGGATAATGTAGACCTGAAGTGAGAAATGAACCTTATCTGCGAAGGCCCCAAAATTCACTCAAGTGTCCACATGGAGAACTCATGACCACTGAGAATGAGGCTGGGCCACAGCTCGATGGAGCCACAAGTGGCAGGCCAGGTTTCGCACAGACCCCAGCCACGGACTCCCATGTCTGCTCCTATGTCATACTTGGGCTTTCTCCAGGCTAACTAATCATGTCTCCAAAGTAATGTTGGAGGACAGAGAAAAGCCAGGGAAGGAGGGTACAGGGAGCTGGCATTGAGGCGGGGGGTGAGACGGAGAGCTAAGAGCTAAAGTGAACTCAGCCCTGCAGCCTCTCTTCCTCTTCCCTGCCTTCTTTACAGGCAATCCTGGGTGCAAGCCCAGCAGCTGGGTCTCACTCCATCATCAGGGATAGGCAGCTCACAGCCCTGGAAGGCGGAGAATGCCATCTCAGCCCCTGGAACCATCAGTTTTCTCTTATTTGGTACAGGCGGAGGTGTGGATCGGTGGCCTTTTCAGGATTAAGACAGGTGAAGCGGCATGTGGTAAGATGCAGAAAAGACCAGACTCAACACTCCTGCCATTCTCTGCAGACTCTGGCACAGGGGAGGGGCCACTAGAGACTCTGGTGGCAGCAAACCTATGTTCACTGATGCATCATTCACAAGAGCAAAACAAAAAAAGTAGGAATAACAGATGACTGATAAACAATTGTGTCCCATCTAGAATATAATATACATATAATCCAGAGTCCTGGTATGAGGCTGTAGAATAAGCACTCACCTGCTAACAGAAACGTCAGTGGTTCAAACCAACCAGCCACTCCTTGGAAGCTATGTAGGATCTCTATGAGTCAGGACCAACCCAATGGCACTTAACAATATACACATATAATACAATGGAAGATTACAAAACTGTAATAACGAATCCACAAAACGCAACATGGACAAATTTGGAGGGCATTATGTTATGTAAAATAAGTCAATCACAATAGGACAAATACAGTACTGTCTCTCTGATGACACTACGGAAGGAAAGGTGAAAGCGGGAGAAGCACTTTCTAGGTAGTGATTAGTCAATTTTGCCATCCTGCTGAATATATATGCGCCATCAAAGATGCAGAAGGGGAATCTTACTATTATCAATGAGGAGCCAGGAATGGAGCATATCCTTTGGACTCCGTGACAACCCAGACACAAAAAGTTGTGACACCAGAGGAGTGGCAGAGGAGCTGCAGCAAATCCAAGAATCAGAGCACAAGACAGAGCAGTGGGCTTCCCAACTTATGGGGGTGACAATGAAAAAAATATGTGGGTGGTTACCTAAGTAGATAAATGGTCTTATGTTTATATTCTGGCACATATTAAGTGCACGCACATGTACACATTTGGTGTATTTATAGGCATATGTATACAAGTATTTGTGGGTGTTACAAACACAAGGGGTCTTTTAGAAAGTTTATGGAAAATGTAACTAAAAGATAATGGAATTTTTCCATAAACTTTGAGTCCCCTCATATATGAGTCCTGGTGTGGTGCTGAAAGTGACTGCTAAGCACAAGGTAAGTGGTTCAAACCTAACAGCCACTCTGCAGAATTCCTATACAGGGTCACTATGAGTTGGAACTGATTTGAAGGCACTTTCATCAGCATATATAATAAAGCTCATAAGAGGCACAGTCGCACATAACTAATCACTTTTATCAGTTTAAGACCATACTATCATGAACAACTCAATCAACTGGTATAACATGATTCAAAATGTACTACATTTGGTTGAGTAACATCGGAATCTTAAAAGCTTGTGACTGGCCATCTAAGATGCAACTATTGGTCTCCACTTGTCAGAAGCAAAAAGAAACCAAAGACTCAACAAGGACCACACTCAGTAACAGTCCACACAAACCACAGCCTCACCTAATGTGAAACCACCAGAATTAGTGCTGGCTTGGCCCAACTACCATTATAGACAGTTCTGACCAGTGACACGTTGTTGTTGCTGAGTCCCATCTAGTCGATTCCGACCCACAGAGACCCTGTATAAGGTTTCTGAGAAGCAGCTGGTGAGCTTGAACCGCTAACCTTGCAGTTCAAATGGCTTTGCAGTCTGGCGTTACTAACCCACAGCGCCATACCAGGACTCCATTAAATGGTAACAAATCTAATGAATAGAACAAAATTCACATTCCTAAAAAAGATGAGACCTGGGCAGACAGACTAAAGAAACACCTAAGACACTGTCCTACAATACCTTTAAAACATAATATCAGCCATGAGTACAGTGTTCTTTTAAACCAACTACATGAAACCAAACACTTAATGTTTACTCTAAAACAACGACGAGGAGGGTAAGGAGACAGGGAAGTTAGATTAACGCAAAGACAATGGAAATAATGAGAATGCTGACTTATTATGAAAAATGTAATGAAATGTCATAATTTGTATAATTATCATTAAATGGAAATATAATTTGCTGTGTGTCAACCTACACCTCAATTATATCATTTAAATTTTAGAAAGTGCTTATTCTAATATGATAAGTATTTCACTATAACAACTCTTGACAATCCAACTACATTCAGGTAACACAAGCATATAATACATAGATGTTACCAAACGAAATAGAATAAAAACAAAAACACAATTATTCAGTGATCTACTCTAGTTTTCTTGACCAGTTAGCTAGGATTTAAAACTTAAGCAAGCATAGTATTTTAAGGGAACATTTTCTAACTGAAGTTTAAAAAAAAAAAAAATTTCACAAAACAAAGCATAAAATATAGCATATAGTTCTTATTAAGTGCAAAAGTATGTTAACATTCTTATATCTATTAAAATAATAAATGGCAAATTACCTGAGTACTCAATGACTTCCTCTGGAGTCTTCCCTTCTACTTCTCTTGCTATATTTTCAATATCATCACGACCCCACTTCTCATTAGCTTTGATAAACTGGTTAAAATCTCTCTTATTCCAATTGGTAAACCCCTACAAAGCAACAGAAATCAACTAATTTCAGAACAGTATACGTGCAGAAAAAACATACTTTACAAATGGTTCTAAATAGTACAGAAAACAATGTTCTAATGCGTCTTGTTCATCTTTTTTTCATTAAGCTCTTTTAAAGTGATAACTTTTCATGTACTACATGATATCTATTTCTAGCAATACTACATACAGGATTAAGACAAACTAAGCATAAAATTTGAGTGGAAAGAAAAGCTATGTGGAGAGGTGACATTTTGGTTACAATTTAAAAGAGGAGATGGTAAAGAAAGAAAAACAGAAGGTAAAGAGCAAAGACACAAGCAAGTAGGAAAATGGAAGAAAAAAAGGTTGGTTAAGGCCAGATTCTGAAAAGCCTTAACTGAAAAGATGGAAACAATAAAGCAGAGTCTTATACTTCAAACTGATAACTTGTTGGCTATGTGGGAGCGTCACTGAGAAGAAAAGAAGGAAACACTCAAAGAAAGCTTATCAATAAGATACCCAATTCTACCAAAGCCAGTAAAAATCTATAATCTCCTAACTACTAAGCAACTAGTGGCAACATAAATGTACCATTTACCCATATGCCCATGCTTTTGTCTCTAAAGGTCCGATCTCTGAAACCAGAAACTTGTCATTTCTAACCAGTATTGACAAACTAATTATTTATTGACTAAACGTTACCTGTGTTAGAAGCTTCTCTTTTTCCTCTAATTCTTCATCATTAAGAGGTTCAGCTTCATCAATTTTAAGCTGTTCTTCTTTTTGTGCCTGTGCTGCATTTGGTAGGTCAGGATTTCTAGGGACCTAAAAAATATTTTCCTACATTACCAACCAGTGCATATTAGAGAATGTGTGGTGAACTAAAATTCTCAACACACAAGGTTTAATCCAAACATTCAAGAAAATATATTAGTATCTACATTTATCAAGTTAAATATAAACCACATTAGTCAAAGTTTTTTTCTTTTCTCTCTAATGGTTAACAAACACACTTTCAAATACCTGGCATATCCTAGGATAGAGTAAATCAATAATCTTTTCTACTTGGCTTAAATGGGTTATATAAATATTAAGACGTGAATTCTTACATCTTCAAATGCATGTGAACAGAAAAGGAGGCAAAAAGAAGTAATTCCACTACCTTGTACCCAATAGTTTTTCTGTAATACAAAATTTCTTTTTCCAATAATTCAAATAAGCGTGGAGGAAAGAACTGGAAATCCTGGACATTGGGCTGTTTTGGAGGTCGAGGAGCCTAATGAAACATAAGAAACAAATTACGAAAATAAAGAGAAACTTTGTGATTTAATTAAATGTATCGCAATCCTCATTCTGCCCTGGACTGCAAACTGCACGGTCAGCAGTTCAAATCCACTACTACTCCTTAAAACCCTATACAGGGTCACTATGAGAACAGACTCAACAGCACTTCATAATCTTAATTCTGTAAACCATAACCACTACCTCGCTAAGAAACTGCAAGTACCAAAAAAATTAACTGCTCTTACCAAATGCTACATATGCTAAGTCTAAGTAAGCTGTACAAAACTAAACAGTGGTGACCACAATATTAAAAAAAAAAAAAACACAACGTAATTCTCAATAACCTCAACTTACCATGACTGAAAGAACAAAACTAATATACATTTCTATTATGTTTATGTATTTTTATTCTTTGCCAACTCACCTTAGGTGCTTTAGGTTCACTGACACGTAGAGCTTCCCTGAAATATGCATCAACAGCATAGTTGGCTTTTCTTTCTCGTTTAGGAGGTTCAATCCACTCTGTGAATGCAATCTAGCATGTAAAAAATAATTCGTATCACAAACTTTTACTAATACAGTAGCAAATTCCACATGGCTGGCCTCATTCTATGCATTAAGAGTGGTATTCATAAATGGAATGATACTCCTAAAACACTAGAAAGATCTACAAGGACAGGTACTAAGATTCTACTCAACATAACACAATTAACACAGAGCATAATACCTAGTGAAAAGTATATGCACTCAGCATTTCTTTACCATGTGAATAATTGCACTGGGTTAAAATAAAATACTTACAGAATGTATGCTACAATCCAAATAAGGAGAAAGGATAGATATAGGGTCTTCAACACATTCACGGAAAAACAGAATTAGAAGACAGTTGAATTTTCCCACAAACTTTTTGAAGCTCCCTCAAACATATCCTAATGTTAACAAGGAAAACCCTAGGTAGAACTATTTTCTCTTCTACCTTGCAAGCACATTCCAATTTCTCTGTATGTTAATAAATGTTACTTATGAACTTAGGAAAAATTCCCTCTATTACCACCAATTCTGCTATTTTACTTAAAAATAAAATCTAATAATAAGGTTGTAAAAAAAAAAATATTTTCGCCAGTAATGTTGACTTTTAAATATTCTAAATAAATATATTAATTACACAAAAGAATGTATATAAAAGATTATAGCAACTTCAAAAATTTCAAAACATGTGGAATCAAGTTTTAGATAAAAATTTAAAATATTTTCTATTATCAGACACGAAAAGCAGAAAAGAGTGGCTGTCACAAAATTACAAGTTATTACATCAAATTCCAAACTGTCAGTAAAATAGAGCCTTCAAGTAACCAATATCTCATTCTAAGTACCTTTTGTTTTTCTCTGTAGTCTTCTCCTTCAAAGTTATAAACACTTGATTCCGTATCCATTGTAAAGTTTCTAAGTGAGCTTTCACCCATCTTGGAGAGCTTTTCATTCATCTCCGCAGTCTAGGGAAACAACGAAACACCTTATTAAACCAAACACTAAACAAAAAAAGAATGAAAACTCAACTCAAAATGAGTTCGTCTTTATAACAAAAGCTTCTCTTAATGGATTAAGATTATTATTCACGTATCATATATTTTCTCAAACAGTTCTGATTTGAATTATCTTATATTTAAAGCACTATCATTTAATATACACCTCACCTTCTTTGCACCTCTTTCCAAAATGCCATCAATATCTTCATCAGTAATCTCACTTTCCTTTGAAGCAAATACATGTGTTGCCCCATGTCGAATCATTTGAAGCATTTCATCTTTACCAATTTTGTTTAGATTCTGATCCACAAGTCTGCCTGAAAAGATATTTTGTTGTCTTTTAATTAAGCACTTTTATTGAAAAGTAATGCCTTCTACGTTTCTTTCAAACAGGAATCCTTTTTTTTTTTTTAATTTTTATTGAGAATTATGTGATAGTTTACATAGAACATTAGCTTTATACATACATCCTATCACATTTCTTTTCACTGCAATGATTACAATCCCCTCCATGCATCATCAAACAACCAAAGGGTACACCCTGAATGCCTGCTCCCCATCCCCCGCCAGCACACAGCCCCTCTCCCCCCTTCCTGAGACCAGAGTCCCCAGATGCTCCATCTTTCCACATCATCGTCTCTGCCTCCCATCTCTGACAACACTGGTAGGGTCCCACACTCTGCTCCTCTACCTTGATGGTCCCAGAGACATACATTCCTAGACTGCAAAATCAACCACTCCCTCCTTTTTTATAAAACATCTAACCTTTACATTTCCGACCCCCACACTCAGTCCTGATAGCAATTATTCACTATTGAACCACAAGATTCTTATCCCCATCTCCTTTCATCAGCCCCATCCCTGCATACTGAGGGGATGGGAATGATACTCGCTATAAAGATCTGTTCCCTCTTGTGAGCTACTACATCCGTAAATATAGGTCAAGTTCAACAAATTGTAGCAGATTCCTCCACTTTTTTCCTCTTCTTTCTTCCCCTAGTCGAGTTCTGCTCCTTCAGCCATTGAAGGCGCACCTTAGTCCTCAAGCTGACATCTTTGCTCTTCAATATCTTAAAAAAGTCTTGTGCAGCAGATTTGCCTAATACAATACGTTGTTTGATTTCTTGACTGCTGCTTCCATGAGTGCTGACAGTTGATCCAAGAAGAATGAAGTCCTTGACAACTTTAACCTTTTCTCCGTTAATAAGAATGTTGTTTATTGGTCCAGTGGTGAGGATTTTTGTTTGCTTTACATTGAGACACAATCCATTCCGAAGGCTGTGCTCTTTGGTCTTCTTCAGTAAATGTTTTAAGTCCTCTTCACTTTCAGCAAGCAAGGTTGTATCATCTGCATATCGCAGGTTGTTAATGAGCCTTCTTCCTATCCTGACGCCACGTTTTTCTTCATAGAACCCAGCTTCTCGTATTATTTGCTCAGCATACAGGTTGAATAAGTATTGAAAGAACACAACCTTGTCGCACACCTTTCCCAATTTTAAAACATTCAGTGTTCCCATGCTCTGTTCAAACAACAGCTTCTTGGTCCAGGTACAGATTCCTCATGAGTACAATTAAGTGTTCAGGAATACTCATACTTCGCAATGTTGTCCTAGCTTTAGAAATTAGTCAATCACAATAAGACAAATATTAGAAGAGACCACTACTGTAAAAATTCAAGAAATGGTTTTCATGCTGAAAGAAACATTCTCTGGTGAATAGCAGGGGTGGGAGGGAAGAGAGTAATTCACTGGCTATAGAGTAGATATGTTAACTTGGATGACAGGGAGGGCAATATACAGGAAGAGGGAGCTTGGCTGAAAAATGATAAAGACAGGTGAAGACGTAGCAAAGTATGAAAAGGCTAAAGGTGCTAGAAGTGATATATATACAATTTTGTAACAATGTTCTGCAGATACATAACATGGACTGACACAAGGCTTAACGGGTATGAGAGGAAGAGTAGGAGTATACCTACAAATATATAAGGGTTTAAAAGAGGGTATTCATAAACGGGTGAGTACATTTGTTGTAAACACAACTATGAATCTAATGCAGCATACAGTGTGCAAAATGATGAAAACTTAGATACTATCAAATATCTTACTTAAGGCAATGAGTTGCTGGGCCTGAGGACTCGGGACCATATTCTCAGGGGACAGTATGATCGTCATCACATAGTCCATAAAGACAATGTTCTTACATCCTACTTTGGTGAGTACCATCTGGGATATTAACAGACATTTAAGGTACAGCTATTGGTCTCTTCTTGTGTGAAGAAAAGTGATGAGAACTGAAGATCATTGGAATCAGTCCAAAAGACTCTGAGACCAGAACTACAGACCAGGCTTACTGGTCAAAAAGAGGTGAAAGAACCTGAAACTATGGCCCTCAGCTACCCTTCATGTTTGGAAAGGAACTCGCCAGTATGGCCCAATTTTTAGCCAAGTCAGTAAGTAAAGACAGGGAGGACAACAACACTAGTAAGGTATGTCCACACTGAAAGGTCAATCACTCAAAATCAAAAGAGCAACATTCACCTAAGGACAAAATTGAAAAGGAATGGGAAGTTGAGTGGAATGGAAATAGGAACCACAAGGGAAGAAGGTAACTGTTGTTGCATGGGAGGCGATTGCAGCCATTGAGATGAAACAAAGTCTATGACTTGTTGAACGTAAAACTGATGATCCTGTCTATAAACCTTCATTCAATTCACAAAGAAGTTATTTTAAAATGTTAAGCACAAAAAATCCTTCATATTGACAAATTTTATGTAAGAACTGTAATACATAACATTAACTTCAGGAAACATCCTTACCTCAAGAAATGAACTCCTGAAAGTTTATTTGGATCAAAAAAGAAATAGCTTTCAGCTGCTTCCTGGAAATCCTAATCAGGACCGCTATGGGTCAAACAGACTCAACAGCACTTAACACCGATTTGTTTTTAAAAATGCAAACATGAAAGCAGAAAAACTAAAAAAAATAAATAGCAAAGTTCTATTTCACCCTCAGTGGACACTTTACATATACTTAAACATATGAAACTTAATATTTACATTAATTAATGTGCAAGAAATGAAAAGGTTTATGTCTTTTCTACTACTCACTTAAATACTGACAGTTCTGAATAGTGGAAAAAAGCACAAGGAAACATTTCTGAATTTTGAAAGGAGTACATATCAACAGAATATGTTTTTCTTTGGACTGAAAACGATCTTATATGCACGGAGATTGTAATTATTGCAATAAAAAACTGGTGTAAAACCAATGGTCTCCAATGTAAACTATCACTCAATTCACAATAAATGCTATCTTACAATCGGAATTTTCTTACTTTTCTGCTGGGCGTTAAGGGAGCTTTTCAGAAATAAAATGGTTCTGGAGCATGGATTATTCCCCTATTTTTAATTATCTCTTAGTACACAAACCATTAACAGAGACACAAGAACTGAGACTGGCTAATCCACAAATGATACCAAAAAAAAAAAAGTTTTCTTCAAAATCTACCCGTATTTAAAAAAAAAAAACAAACCCAAAAAGATTAAGCAAGATTTCAACTCACAACAACCCTGTATAAGGGTTTCTGAGGCTAAGTCTTTACAGTAGCAGAAAGCCTCATCTTTCTCCCATGGAGCTTGTTTGTAGATTTGAACTGAACTTGTGGTTAGCAGCCCAACTTGTAACCCAGTACACTACCAGGGATCCTTAACTAGGGAAAGGTGGTTTGTTGTTGTTAAGTGCCATCCAGTCGATTCCAACCCTTAGTGACCGTGTATAGGGTTTCTAAGGAGCAGCTGGTGAGCTTGAACCACCAACCCTGCAGTTAAAACGACTTTGTAGTCTGACGCATCAGCCCACAGCGCCACACCAGGGAAAGGTGGTAGTGGTGGTTATGTTACGTGGAGTCAGTTCTGACTCATAGCAACCTTGAATAGGGTTTCCGAGGCTGTAAATCTTTCCGAGGGTAGAAAGCCTCTTCTTTCTTCCATGGGACTGCTGGTAGTTTCGAACTGTTGACCTTGAGATTAGCAGTCCAACTCATAACCACTACGCTACAAGAAAAAGAGGTTGCTAATACAGAGCCAATATTTAAATGTCAATCTTCCTGACTCTAAAACCTGTAACGCTTAATAACAAAACTTAACTTTATTATTTCTGGAATGTAAATGTTGGCTTGCTTGGTTCAGCAAGGTTTAATAACAAAAATCACCTTTTAAAACGGTACAGCAAAAAAAAAAAAAAAAAAAGTTATAGCAATCCAACAATGTAAAATTTTAAATTAATAAGGCTCACCTTGTTGAATGACTATTGAATCCAGTCTAAGCTTCATCTCAGCACGTTCCACTATTCTTTCTTCAACTGTGTTGTCAGTGATAAATCGAAACACTCTGACTGTCTTGGTTTGTCCAATTCTATGTGCTCGGTCCTAGAAAAATTGTTCTTTTTAATATAAACTAAAATTTCACACAATTCTTACATGTGCATACTAAGAAAAAAATTAAATATTTTTAAGCATGGAACAGCTTTAAAAATACATAATAAACCAGATTTTTTAAAAAAAATAGCTATACATATACTTTTACATTTAAATTCACAATATTTTTCTACCTAAATATAGTCTGAATTTACTATTAGAGACAAGTGACATGAATAAAGGAACTTTTCAAGTAATATAAAAATCCCAGTCTTAAAACTCCACAGTCCAAATGCATGGCATAGAGGGAAGCATGCTGATGCAAATGGAAATTATTTGCGAAGCACTCACTGAAATATTAGGTGGGAGAACAATATTTACTGGGTTAAGCTTCTGGTATTTGGATATTGTTTACCCTAACTACAACATTTACCACCAAACATCTGTCACTTTGTCGTACTGTGGTGGCTTGTGAGTTGCTGTGATTCTGGAAACAATGCCACCAGTATTTTAAATACTAGCAGGGTCACCCATGGTGGACAGGTTTTAGATGAGCTTCCAGACGAAGACAGACTAGGAAGAAGGAGCAACAAACTACCTGCGAATATTTAGTCAATGAAAACCTTAGGAATAAGCAGAGAAACTCTGTCAGATAATAATGCCGGAAAATGAGCTCAAGTTGGAAGGCATTCAAAATGCAACTGCAAAAGAGCTGTCTCCTCAAAGTAGAGTTGACCGTGATGATGCAATGGAGTAAAACCCGTGGGATGTAAAGCCCTTGGGACCTTCATTGCTGATGGGGCATAACTCAAAGAGAAACTGCTGTAAATATCCATTAATAATTGGAACATGGAATGTACAAAGTATGAATCTAGGAAAATTGGAAACTGTCAAAAATGAAATGGACCACATAAACATCGATATCTTAGGCATAGGTGAGCTAAAATGCATTGGTATTGCATTCTGAATTGACAACCATATGCTTTACTATGCTGGGAATGACAAATTGAAGAGGAATGGTGTTGCATATCAAGATCAGTCATGAAGTACAATGTTGCCTGTGATAGGATAATACCCATGTGCCTAGAGGGAAGACCAGTTAATACCAATATTATTCAAATTTATGCACCAACCACTAAAGCCAACTTCTTCAATCTGAAATTGATCAAACATGCAATCAAGATATACTGATCATTACCGGTGAATGGAATGCAAAGGTTGGGAGCAAAGATGAAGCATGAGTAGCTAGAAAATATGGCCTTGGTGATAGAAATGATGCTAGAGATCGCATGATATAATTCTGGAAAATCAGTGATTTGTTCATTTCAAAATACCTACTTTAGACACCTTGAAGAGATGACTATACACATGGACCTCACCAGATGGAATACATAGAAAACTGACTACATCTGCAAAAAGAAATGACGGAAAAGCTCCATATCATCAGTGAAACAAGGCCAGGGGAAAACTGTGGAAGAGACCATCAATTGCTCATATGCAAATTCAAACTAAAGCTGAAGAAAATGAAAACATTACATGAGAGTCAAAATATGACCTTGAATATATCCCACCTGAATTTAGAGATCACCTGAAGAACAGATTTCATACATTAAATACTAAAGACCGAAGATAAGAAGAGTTGTGGGATGACATCAAGAACATCATACATGAAAAAAAGCAAAAAATCATTAAGAAGACAAGAAAGAAGGAAAAGGTCAAATGGATGTCAGAAGAGACACTGAAACTTGCTCTCCAGCATAGAGATGCTAAAGCAAATGGAAGAAATGAAGAGGCCAAAGAGCTAATAAACAGAAAATTTCAAAGGTCAACTTGAGAAGATAAAGCCAAATATTACAACAAAATGTGCAAAAGATCTGGAGGCAGAACACCAAAAAGGAAGAACACGCTAAACATTTCTCAAGCTGGGGGAACTGAAGAAAAAATTCAAGCATCGACTTTCATTATTGAAGGATTCTCTGTGCAAATTATTGAATGACGCAGAAAGCATCAAAAGGAGATGGAAGAATACACAGAGTCGCTGTACCGAAAGGAAAAGGTTGATGTTCAACCGTTTCAAGAGGTAACATATGATCAAGAGCCAATGACACTGAAGGAAGAAGTCCAAGGTGCAATGAAGTAATTGATGGAATAAAAATTGAAATCTTTCAAGAAAGTGAGTTGGCACAGGAGGCACTCACTCATCTATGCCAAGAAATTTGGAAGATAACTGTCTGGCTGACTGATTGCAAGAGATCCATATTTATGCCCACTCCAAAGAGAGGGGACCCAACGGAATGCGGATATCTTTGATATCCTAGGCGAGTAAGGTTTTACTAAAAGTAATACAGAAACGGCGGCCAGCATACATTGACAAAGAACTTCCAGAGGTCCAAACCAGATTCAGAAAAGGCCGTGGAATGAGGGATATCACTGCTGATGTCCGATGGATCTGGACTGAAAGCAGAGAGTATCAGAAAGATGTTTACCTGTGCTTTACTGACTACGCAAAGGCTTTCTAATGTGTAGCTCATGACAAGCTATGGACAACATTGCAAAGTACGAGTATTCTGGAGCACTTAATTGTGCTTATGAGGAATCTGTACATGGACCAAGAGGCAGTTGTTTGAACACAACATGGAAACACTGAATGGTTTAAAATTAACAAAGGTGTGTGACAGGGTTGTATTTTTTCACCATACTTATTCAATCTGTGTACTGAACAAATAATCCAAGAAGCTGGGTTATATGACGAAAAAAGTGGCATCTGGATTAGAGGAAGACACATTAACAACCTGTGATATGCAGATGACACATCCTTGCTTGCTGAAAATGAAGAAGACTTAAAACATTTACTGATGAAGATCAAAGAGCACAGCCTTTGGTATGGATTACATCTCAATGTCAAGAAAACAAAAATCCTCAACACTGGACCAATAAGCAACATTCTTTATCAATGGAAAAAAGATTGAAGTTGTCAAGCACTTCATTCTTCTTGAATCAACTATCAATACTCATGGAAGCAGCAGTCAAGAAATCAAAATGATGCATTGCATTAGGCAAATCTGCTGCACAAGACCTTTTTAAAGCATTGAGGAGCAAAGATGCCAGTTTGAGGACTAAGGTGCACCTGACCCAAGCCATGGTATTTTCAGTAACCTCATATGCATGTGAAAGACCGTAGAAGAATCGATGCTTTTGAGTTATGGTGTTGGAGATTACTGAAAGTGCTATGGGCTGCCAAAAAAAACAACATCTGTGTTGGAAGAAGTGCAGCCAGAGTGCTCCTTGGATGGCCAAACTTTGTCTCTCATACTTCAGACATATTGCCAGGAGGGACGAGTCGCTGGAAAAGGATACCATACTTGGTAAGGTGGAGGGTCAGAGAAAAAGAGGAAGACCCCGTAGTGAGATGGAGTGGCAAAGTGGCAGCATCAATGGGCTCGAGCATGGTAACGATAGTGAGGTTGGCCCAGGACCAGGCAGTGTTTCGTTCTGCTGTGCACAGGGTCACTATCAGTTGGTACCAATTCTATGGCACCTAACAACATCTTAGCACAGAATATATTTATATTTGTTATCTCTTACCATAGCCTGAAGATCTACTTGAGGATTCCAATCTGAATCATACAAAATTACAACATCAGCAGTAGCAAGATTGATGCCAAGACCACCAGCACGCGTGCTTAGCATGAAAACAAATTTTGTGCTGTTTGGTTCATTATATGCATTGATGGAGTCCTATGTACAGAAAAAAAAAACAAGTATCAGAAAATGATTTCGTATTATAATTTTTATGTCCCTTCTGATTTTTACTCACTTGTCTCTCATCATGGGGTGTTTGCCCATCTAATCTGCAATACTCATAATTCCTCCACATGCAGTAATCTTCTAAAATATCCAACACTCTTGTCATCTGACTGAAGATTAGTACCCGTGAACCTGTTAAGAAATATAATATGCTCATTACCAGAGGCCTCAAAAGTAGAACATACATCAACTTACAAGGGAGACATCAGAACATAACCTTGTTGACTCTATAGCACTTAATAACATACAGTCCTGGTGTGGTGCTATATGGTAAGTACTAGAGTGCTAACCACTAGGTTGTTGTTTCAAACCCACCAGCTGCTCCTTGGAAACCCTGAAGAGGGTTCGCTTAGAGTTGGAATCAGCTCAATATTGCTTAACAATAAATATACACACCACACATGTACTATTTTCATATAAAAGTGAGCATGTCATAAAATATCATGAGCACAATAAGAGTTAACAAAGCATGTAGGAGAATGCATAGGTGGGAAAAGTCATACAGGTATTTTATGACAAAAAGCTGAAATTTCTTAATCACTCAATGATTAATGGGAAAGCATATATAGAAAAGAAACTCTCCCCAAAATCCGGCGAGTGTGGTCGCTCTACTGATCACCTTTAAAAGACAAAAAAAGGCCTAAAATTGAACGTTCAGATAAAGGATACAAGTTTTTAATGATTTTACTTTAGTTTTATAAATAGTGTCAGGAGTAGTCATTTTAGAAATGTAGTACATCTTCATTTTAATGTTATTGTTAAGTGCCATCAAGTTGGTTCCAACTCACAGTGACCCAATACATAAGCTTTCCTAGAAGCAACTAGAGTGTTTGAATCACCAACCTTATGATAGTTGTCTAGTGCTTATCCACAGGACTACATTTTAATATTAGAATTTTAAATTTTTCATTTTTCTTCAATTGTGATACCAGTGTACAGATACCTTGTTCTTTCAATTTGGGGAGCAGCTTGTCTAATACCACCATTTTGCCACTGTTGGTAACTAGATGCATATCTGTTGTATACGGTGGGCCAGGTTCAGCTCCATCAAAGAGATAAGGATGATTGCAGCATTTCCTCAACTGCATCAGGATGTTCAACAGCCTCATTTTGTCCATCTTTCCTGCAGAGTTCAATATATCTATATCCTTCATTAAAATCCGGGTGTACCTATTGAAAGAAAATTATTTTAAGAATACTCAAATGTTCCTTATCAGTTTAAATAGATCCCCTTCCTTACCTCAGACCCGAAATGCCTGGAATAAATAACTCATCAACTTCTAATCCTTCTTCCCCATTTCCTATCTCAACCCTGAAATACCTGTAAAGTCTTAGATAGCACTAAAAATTTTGACATCATTTTACAGAAATGAGAATCTGTTGATATACCAGTTTTAGGCGATTGAAAACTCTGTACAAAATAACCTAAATATTATGTGATTACACCATTTGCCATGGAACCAGTTCCGATTCATGGCAACCCTGACTATAGTTTCTGAAGCTGTAAATCTTTATGGGACCAGAAACTCTCATCTTTCTCTGGCAGAGCAGCTGGTAGATTCAAACTGCTGACTTTATGTTGTTGTTGAGTGGCATCGAAGGGATTCCGACCCATAGCGACCCTGTATAGGGTTTCCAAGGAGCAGCTCGTGAGCTTGAACCACCCACCGACTTTGCAGTTCAAACGACTTTGCAGTCTGAAGCATTAGCCCACAATGCCACCTTATATAGTTACCAGAAAATGGTACCAGGGCTCCTTTAAACAGGTTTTTGTTTTTGTTAAGTGACACTGAGTCGATTCTAATGCATAGTGACCCTGTATAGGGTTTTTGACTCTGTAAATCTTTATGGGAGCAGAGAGACTCATCTATGAGTGACTGGTAGATTCAAACTACTGATCTTGCAGCTAGCAGCCCAGTTTGTAATCCATTACACTACCAGAGCTACTTACAACAGGTTAAATAGTAATACACGTTTAAGAAACTCTAAGCATGGGGCACAATATGCTTCAAGGCAGACCTTTAAAAAAAAAGCTGCAATTTGATGAAATTGGACTTCTGCTTATGGATGTTTGTTGTTGTTACTGCCGTGGAGTCGGTTCCAACTCATACAGACCCTGTACAGGGTTTACGAGGCTGAAAACCTTTACAGGAGCAGTTAGCCCATCTTTCTCCTGTGGAACAGCTGTTAGTTTCAAACTGTTAGTTTCAAACTGAAATTAGCAGCCAGATTCGTAACCGCTACGTTACTGTTGTTACTCAAAATTCCACTGGAATGGAAGGATTCTTCATATTAAGGATCAAGCATGATTCCTCAGTGTACTAGGCTGATGTTGCTGTTGTTAAGTGCCGTCGAGTTGATTCCGGCCCATAGCGACCCTGTACAGTGTTTCCAAGGAGTGACTGATGAGCTAAACCACCGACCTTGTATTGTAGTTCAAATGGCTTTGCAGTCTGGCACATTAACCCACAGCACCACACCATAGGTTGATATGGAAAGGTAATTTAGGCACTAGCTACCAACATGGGGGGACTTAATGGCATGAAGTGGCTGGCTTACAAGCTTTCATGAGTGTGCTTAGTTTCAGAATGAGGGGACTAAGTTAAAATCCCCACTGAATAATCTTTTCCAGGTGGTGCTGGTAAAATGGCGATGATTCTATTGTAATTATTAGCAGGATTAATTTTAATTGTCACAACTGCAACTGTAGAAGATGTGTTACTAAATGGGTTAAGTAGTTATCTTTCATCTCAGGAACAGAAAACCTTGAACCATTATGATGGAAGAGAATGAGTAGAGCGTGAGCTCCATTAATTATTTACCTAGAAAAGCAGCGAAAGCAGAGGTGGTGGCAGAGGTGGTGGCATGGAGAGAAAGAGAAGCTGAGGGCTATAGGTCATGGACTAAGTCAGGCTGTAGGCCTGCAGGCAAGAGGCTGGCTTGCAGAATATGCCCTTTGGACATTTAAGTGAACCCTACTTTTTTTTTGTATGTGTACATCAAGTTTTTTTTGTTTTGTTCACTTGTGATATATACGATATAAATGGGGAGTCACAGGGAGGAAGTAGGAAGACTGTTGCAGGGAAGGGATTGTAATCATTGAGATGAAACAAAGTGTATGATTTGAATGTACAGCTGATGATGTTGTCTGTAAACCTTCAATCAATTCACAATAAAAAGTTGTTTTTCTGCTTTATTTTTAAAACTCTGATATAAAGTTCACCATTGTGTTTACCTAAATAAAAAAATTAAAAAAAACTAAAATCTGTGTTCCATTAGCATCAGCTTAGGTTTTAGTTCTGTATTTTAGTCATACAAAACAAGCCCAGTATCTTTGCCACCAAAAATCCCTTTAAAAGTTGAGGACAGTGGTCCTCTTTCCCAGGTAACTGCTCAGTTCTTCATATTATACACTAAAAATTCTTTTGCTAATAACTGTAGCATCATCTTACAACTATTTATCTAAATTAAATATAGAACTAATATTTCAGATGTGATGTGCCCGGTACAGAATAAGGTGGCTAGTTATTTTCCTCCTTTTGAACACAAGACTTACATTAACATGGATTCAGGTATTCGGTCACGGATTTCCAGACTTTAAAATTGTATACATTGACAAAACTTGGTGCGGGGGGGAAGGAGCAAAGAACAAGATTTTCAATTCATCAGTGAGGATGTACAATACCTACAGTGTACTATTATTATTATTTCCCAAAAATGACATTTGATTTTGCCTAAAATAAACCATCACCTCAGAATGAAGAGACTTAAATTGAATAAATTCAGCTTATAAGGGAAATAAAACCATCAAAAACTTCCATGTAGACTCATCTATAACCCAGTATTTATGAACTACCAAGTTAATCTATTAATGCCTCCTATCTGTCCCATCACCACTTTCTGTTAAAAGAAAAAAACAAAGCATTCATTAAGCCTTATGTTTGATTTCCTCTTTCAATGAATAAATCTCAGATCCTAATTTTGTCAGCTGATAGATTCAAGACTTCGTATCACCCATGTAACTGATAAGGCTCAGTCCAATCCAACAAACAGAAATTCTTCAATACACAAATAGAGAAAACAAAAAACAAAATGTCAGTTGACAAATGAATTGTGATATAAAATACAACTCAAATGACATACCATTCTCTCTGCATTTTGCTGAGACCCACATAGATTTTTACTTCCTTCTTTGGAGGCAAACTTTTTTCAACATCAGCCTTAATTCGACGAAGGAGAAATGGACGTAAAACCTTCAAAGGGAAAAATAATAGAGATGACCTTATCTGAAACATAACTATTACTTGAAGATTTCCAAAAGTATCTTTCAAAGAGAAAACATGGACATTTCTTTGCTTCAATTTCAAATGATTTTTCAGAACTGCTCTCTTCAAAATGTGTAATACCTGATTCCTAAAAAGTAATAATACAAAAATGTTATTTCTTCAACATATATAATCAGTATGTCCTTTCTATATTATCATGGGGTCCCTAGTGTGGTGCTGTAGGGTATGTACGGACTGCTAACCAGAATATCAGCAGTTCAAACCCACCAGCCACTCCTCAGAAACTCGGTCACTATTTGTCAGAATCGACTCAACAGCACTGAAAAAGAAAAGACAAAGTTGCTATTTTCAGCATTTGCTGTCTTTCAGGTTTAAAGCTAATGACTGGCATGCAAGATCATCTGGCACTTAAGAAATGTCTACGTCTACAATAAGATGCCTTTATGCTACATTTTTTCAAACAGAAGTACACCATACATACAGCATAAACTTTTAGTGTACAATAATGAATTTTTATAAAGTAAAAATATACACATAAGACTCATCTAGACAAACAGAACACTCTAGAAGTCTTTCTTGTGCCCCTCCCACTGACTATCTTCCCTTTGGTCCCCAGGGATAAACAATAGTATGCCTTTATAATATCAGATTACTGTTCTGACTTATTTTGAACTTTACATACATGGAACCATACAGTAATTTGTTCATTTCTGTCTGGTTTCTTTTATTCAACATTTTATTTGTAAGACATACCCACCCTACATTCGTAAAATAGTAAATTTGAAATTACCTATAAAACTAAAAAGATCTTTCCATTGTTTTTAATTTATACTTTCCTTTGTTCTACTTGAACTGGTTGACTCACACCAAAAAAAAAAAAAGAGTACAACTTGGTGAGAGAAATAATCAGGGAGCAAAGGTAGTACAGCCAGCATGTAAGCGAAGCCCTTCACCCCCACTGGCTCTCTTCCAAAACTACCCATTAAGCACAGCTTAATGAAGAACTCAGGTGAATCCAGTAAAGAAATTACTCAGCCTATTAGTACAATCCTGAAGTTATTAAAATATAAACTATTAAAGTTTGGAGTCTTTTTAGGGGAGGACTGAGGGGACATTTTGCAGATATGCAACAGATAATGGATAGTTGATACATCAAGGAAGACTTCTCATTCTTAAGGATACCCATGTGGGCTGCTGAGGCTCCCATCTCATCATAGAAGCTATGATAGGATTTCAGAAAGCCAGGACAGAGCAGAGAAGTAACTACAAGATCTCCTTCCCCTATTGGTAAGCATCTCCATTGTACCCTCTGAATCAAATAAACAGAAATACCATAACTGACTCATTTGACTACTGTGTGGCTTATTTTGGTTTGTTTGCTCTCTCCATATACCTACCACTTACTGAAAGACAGTCAAGAGGAATAAAGTGAAAAATGCAAGAATAAAAATTAAATGCTTAGGTCTCATTTCCCATGCACCAAATCATATATAAACTTTTTTGTTAAGTACCGTGGAGTCAGTTCTGAATCATAGTGACCTTGTACGTTGTTTCCAAGGCTACAAATCTTTACGGGAGCAGGAAGCCTCATCTTTCTCTCATGCAACAAATGGTAGTTTCGAACTGCCGACCTTGAGGTTAGCAACCCGATTCGTAACCACTACGCTACCACAGCTCCTTTAAAATCAAGCATCTATACTTTCAATTTAGACGTACTTATTTGAAGGATTGTAAAGTTATATATACAGGAGCACTGGTAGCATAGTGGTTACGAATCGGGCTGTGAACCACAAGGTCAGCAGTTTGAAACTACCAACTGCTCCGCGGGAGAAAGATGAAGCGTTCTGCTCCCGTAAAGATTAACAGCCTCGGAAACCCAGTGCAGGGTCGCTATGAGTCGGAACCGACTCCATGGCACATAACAACAACAAAGTTGTATATAGAATCCTTCAAATAAGTACATCTAAATTGAAAGTACAGATGCTTGATTCTCATCCAAATTGAAGGGAAAGGTGCTTCAATTACCGCCTAAATTCAAATATTTTACAAAACTTAATTTCAGTACATAATATATTTTAATAATATCTTAATTTTCATAGACATAGGTGTTCACGAACTTAGTTCAAGTATCCATGTTGTAGCAGACATAATACTAGGGATACAAAAACAAATATAAGACATGTTTTCAATTCAGAGAGAAAAGTATTTGTGAATTAATCACTTTAATACTATGTCTGATATCCTGTAACATTCGAAATTTCAAAGATGGAATATACAGACAAGATGCCTAAAACAGCTTTAGCCTCAGTCTTCGATGGCAATGTTGACAGCACCACTATATCTTGGGGATAGATAGTGGTGGAAGGGCTGGGAAGGGGATTCTAGAAATAGCAGAAACAGTAAAAGACCCACCCACTGCTATCAAGTCCATTCTGATTCACAGTAGTATTGCTTCTTAGGGCTTCCAAGAGTAAATCTTCACAGGTTAAACAGTCTCATCTTTCTCCCATGGGAACAAACTTCAATCTAAGTGTTAGGTTAAGCCCAAGACTGAGAACGGAATTAGCATAATGTTTACAGAACTTTGGCAATGGAGCCAGTAGTTCGAATATATAAAATATTAAAGCTCAATATAAGAAGTGGAAGGTAGTTGTTATTAAGTGCCATCGAGTCAGTTCCGACCCGTAGTGATACTGTATAGGGTTTCTGAGGAACAGCTAGTGAGCTTGAACTGCCAACCTTGCAGTTCAAACGAACTTGCAGTCCAGCGCATTAACCCAATGTTAAAAAAAAAAATGCTAGCAGAATTCAAACTATTGGTTCTGAAGATCATGCTCTCAATCACTTTGCTACTTTTGTTGTTGCTGTTTGTGATACAGTAAAAACTAAAATCTATTAATTTAACTTTCTACCATTTTCACAATAGTAATATAATCCAGCACTACTCTAATACACTTACCATATGAAGCCTCTCAACTAGCTTTTGATCCCCAAGGCAGTTGTTTGTATCAAACCAGGAATCAAAATCCTAAATTAACAAACAAAAAACATCTTAATATCAGATGTAATTTTAACTACATGTGTTACTTCAATACTCCACATTAAACTTAAAGCATTTAGTCCAAGCCTCTATTTTTTTATAAGCACGTTACTATTATCAATTTTAGAACTAATACTTTAAGAATCATAATTAGTCTCAACACTTTTCTCAAAGTATCAAGCTGACAAGCGTTTTTCAGTAAAACTAAAAGTTAGAAAGCTAGTTTTCCAGAAATAACTAAAAAACAATATTCTTGGGAAATAACCTCTCATAAATTCACGAAAGCTTAAAAATCAAAAGCATTTTATAGTTTGCTTTATTTATAAAGCAAACACAAAGTTTCCACAGATCGATGTCAATTTTAATTAAAGAAACTCTAATTTCTATACACTTACCTCCTTACGAATCGACTTACCTCCTTACAAATTGGGCTATGAATCGCAAGGTCAGCAGTTTGAAACTACCAGCTGCTCTGAGGGCGAAAGAGGAGGCTTTCTGCTCCCGTAAAGATTTACAGCCTCGGAAACCCTGTACAAGGCCGCTAAGGGTCGGAAGCGACTCAATGGCACTTAACAACAACCAACTCCTAAACATATTTATTAAATATTTACTATGTTTTTTACTAAACATTGCAGAATCCATTATATGTTTACAGAGACTTAAATAAATGAAAGGGTCAAAAAATTTTTAAAATATCAAAATACGCAAAAGCAGAAAAAGTTACTTTCTGATATTATTTTTCTAAAATACAAATTTCTTTTTTTTAAAGTGATCCTTGTTTATGTTATAGTTAAGTGCCGTTGAGTTGGTTCCAACCAATAGCAACCCTGTATAGGGTTTCCGAGGAGCAGCTGGTGAGCTTGAACCGCCAACCTTGCAGTTCAAATGACTTGGCAGTCTGGTGCATTGGTGGTGGTTATGTGCCGTGGAATCGGTTCCGACTCATAGCGACCCTGTACAGGGTTTCCAAGGCTTTAAATCTTTACGGGAGCAGAAAGCCTCATCATTCTCTCGTGGAACAGCTGGTAGTTTTGAACTGCTGACCCTGTAATTCGCAGCCCGATTGGTAACCATTATGCTACCAGAACTCCCTAGTCTGGTGCATTAGTGGTACAAAATTATCACCTTTTAAAAAACACTGTACATAAATGTACTAGTAAGAAGCTCTTCAAGGGCAAAAACCCCTCTCCCGCACTTCAGCTTGGAAACAAAGGTTCAGAACTGAACTCTGACCCAGCGAACATTGACGATTGCTTTTATAACGGCACTTATTTTCAACATACATGTTATGTTCTGAGGTATAATTAACAGTTCAAATAGCTAACCACTTTTATCACTGAAAATAATCTGTATCAGTTAAAAAAAAAATTAGTTCATAATATTGGTGCTGTATAAGCACTGGACTGCTAACCATATAACATATAAAAAAGGAGTTGGTGCTGTATAAGCACTGGACTGCTAACCATATAACATCAGTTATATAAAAAAGGAGTTGGTGCTGTATAAGCACTGGACTGCTAACCATATAACATCGGTGGTTCAAACCCACCAGCCGATCCTTGGTAACAGGGTTACTATGAGTAGTACATGACTCGACAACATGTCATGTATGATGGCATGTCATTTAACAACAACAATGCAAAAATGGCTTGACAGAACAAACAAGATGGTGGATCGGGTGGACGTATAGCAGAGAGCTCCGCCAACAACAACACAGAATACCCGACCAAGCAGGCTCAGGGGATGGTCCCAGAACTCTGAACCACATATAAAGGAATA